GGGGCGGCCTGAGAGGGCGCGCGCGCTGGCGGCGTTGGCCCAGGAGGCCGGGTGCCATGACAGGGAAGTGCTACAGTCGCGGGCAGGAGCGCGGCACGTCATTGCCGCCCTGGCCCCCCCCCCATAGGAGGCCGCTGTCTCTCTGCAGGATTGGCGGCCTTCACTCGCTGCGCTGTTGGGCTCGGGCGGCCGTCGGGCAGCAACGCATCTATGTCGTCTCCCCATCGTGCACAGCGCGTCATCGTTGACCTTCAGGCGGGGGTCAGTGCGCGTTGCACTGTTTACCTTGGCGCGAGGGGATAGCGGGGCGCAGCGCCAAAATATTGTGGCGCTGGCGAACGCGATGTCTAGGGCGTGGGAGTCATGCGTCATAGGCGGGAGTGCAATGTGTCTGCGCCAGGTGGAGGTCGGTTTTCTTTGTCCTCCTCGTTGCGCCCGAAGATTCGACGCGCCGCGCTGCTCTTTCTCCTTCGATCATCGACTTCGTCGCGCTCAGCGGCGCAGCCGCGTGATCTTTCAACCGGGGCCCAGATGACGCGGCGCGGTCTGGCATGCCGCGCCATGTAGACCTGGCAGTCCGCAGTGGGTGCTCAGTCATGGCAGTATATCGCGCATGGAGTTGCACGCCGACTACCCGCAGCCCAGTTGTTTGCTCCGCACATTGAGGACAGCGTCGGGGCCTCGACATGGCGCGCGTCGAGCAGGCAGTAGTCTCAGCCGAGCACGAGCGCGCCGACGGAGCTCAGTGTTCTTCGAGCACACCATCGGCTCAGTCCAGTGTCAAGGTGGCTCGTCGCATCGCGCGCCGCGCAGGCAGACGTGGAGGAGCTTTATCTGTTCTCGGGTGCCCCACTCCAGATTTGTGAAGGTCGGGCGCGAAGTGGGAGAGCCTGAGGGCGTTCAGGCCAGGGCAGATGGATAGCAATGGTTGCGCAAAACGCGCTGACCCGATTCATTCAGTTTAGAGAGTATACTGCAGGGTGAGCACGCCCAGCAGGATCGCGCGTCCTTCCAGGCTGCCAACATCGTCTGTCACGAGCCCAGTCGTTGCCTCGATGTCGCAGTCCAGCAAGGACGACGCGAAGTTGCACGCCGGGCGCTGCGAGCTCATGCTTGCAGCGAGCATCTCGACGCGGTCGAGAACCACCTGCAGGCGGAGAGCCAGGCTGCAAGCATTGACAGGAATGTGCGTTGTAATGCTGGGTACGATAGTGCTGGGGCATACTGCGCGCTTCATCGGATAGCGATGCGCAGCGACGCCCAGGAGCCAACGGGGGCGCGACGAGAGCGCGGCCCCGCATATCGCCCTCACTCGGTCGTCGGCTACGCGGAGCAGTCGCACGTGCAGGCGCGGCGAGGGTCAAAGCTGGCCCCGCGCGTCTGCGCCCCCGATCGCGCGCTTGTCGCTGTCGGCTTTCGCTGACGACGGCGACGCGCCCAAGACATTCTGAGCGAGCACAACGCGCTGTCTTGATAGCGCCTTCCATCGCAGTTTCGCCTTCCTCTCGAACGAGGCGCTGCCAGTCGCGAGCTCGATCTGGGAGGCCGGCGAGTCGCTCGGGTCCCTCCGAGCAGCTGCAGCGGATATTGCCCGCGCGCCCGAACCCGACACCCACGCCATTCTGGAGAAGAAATCAGAGCCTCCCTTGAATGCCGTCGCCCGTGTCTCCTGGCCCACGCGCCCCGCGTCGATGGACGCCAGCGCTGCGCGCGCGGGGGCAACGCGGGTCTTCTCTAATCCCCTGAGTGAACATCGGGATTTCCAAGGGTTGCGCGAGGCCCGCAGGCCGCGCGAGCCTCGCTAGCCCCATGGGCCCCACAAGTCCCAGGGTGGTTTCCTGGGCCACGCGGGCGCTGCAATGCGCGTTGGATGCGCCGCGCGAGGTTCGGCGGCAGATCCTTCCCAGCATCAGGAAGATATCGATTTGAATTCGCAGCGGCGCAAGATTGACGCCGTGCTGGACTGGCTACACCAAGCTGTTGTTCACCACGCGGCGCGAGCCCCGTATCATCCGTGCTCAGCGTCGCCGCGGTTCTGCGCATGCGCTTGCATGCAGGGGCGCGCCTGCAGGGCGCGGCGTCGCGGACGTCGCGATCAAGGTTCGCGCGCTCGAGCAACGCGACGGGCGCGTGAGCCTGCGCCCTTTGTCATCGTTCTCGAGCTATTTCGACGACGCTGCCAATGGCAATCGGCATCAGGATCATGCAGTGATTGTGGAGCGGCCGGTCAAATATTGCAGGGAGTTTTTGATCGTGGCCAAGCGACTTGATTTTCGCATCAACCAACGTCTCGCCATTGCGCCGCCCAGTCCAGCTCCTGGCAAAGTGGCGGCGCGACAAGTGCGAACTGCTGAGCTGCTGAGCGCAAGTAGTGAGACGAGTGCTCAATTGGTGTCGACAACTCAGCAGGTGAATTCGGCGCGCGCCTGGCGTCGGCGCAACGCAGCGCGTCAGGCTGCAGAAGCGGATGAGGGGCATCAGCAAGTGCCAGAGGGCGTTGCCTGACCAGAAGGACGTTCGACCAGGGCGAATGTGTAGCGCAGGGGCCCGACCAGCATTCGCGCGCGGGGTCGAAGGTAGTGGCCCCGCTGACGCTGAGCTCGGTCAATTCCGCCGCGCGCACTCCCGGCGCGTGAACCCGTGCCGCGGAGCAGCGCCTGCCCCGACACTGCGGCAAACCATAGCGCCAGTGCTTTGATTGATTTGCGTGCCGCGGGGGCCACTGCCCGACCTGAGCACGCGCTAGTCTCCAAAGCTGAGATGCTGCTCTGGTGGGGCTCGACAGCCGCGTCTCCCCGATGGCGATTCAGTTGGTCTGCTTCGAGGGCCACTGAACTGCGGGGCCATGCGTTCAGAGACCGGGTTGGGTCGTTTCCCTCGGCGCATTATGATTTAATCATGTTGGGCAGTACGCTCGCGTTTGCCAGCCGACGCCGGCGATGTTGGAAGAAACGAAGCTTGCCAAGATGCGGGAGTTGCCAAAAAGAGTGCGGACACCGCGTGGTTCCATTCGAGGCCCTTTCGGCATGCGTTCCAAAAGTATAAACATTAGCAGAAGTGCCCGGTCCGCCGCGCGCGCGTGCCAGGGGCCCTGGACTCGCAGCAGGGCGAGAGAGGGTGGGTAAGACGCGGATGGCTTCTGGAGCTGCGGCAGCGCGGGCACGGTGCACCACGGGTTATATTTCTGTGGAAGAAGCGACGCGGCGGCAGCACGCCCGGGGACCGCTGAGTTCTTCCAGGAGGCCATCGACAGCATCAACGGCTTCAAGTCCACCAGGAGCGTTCGGTGTTGCGGGGGAGCTTCTGCTTGTCACGAGGTCGATCGACATCTTCGACAGCAGCGGGCAGGAGGTCGACTGCGAGCTCGAGTCCATGCAGCATCTCTGGCATAATCTAGCTGTGGCAGAGCTAGCTGATGCCTGATATGGCGCCGTCCCGCTTCTTGCTGAATTGCGTCGCGGTGGATGGGCAGTGGCCCTGCTGGACCCTCGCGGCAACGACCCGCTGCGAATTATGTTCTGGTCTATCCCAGGATCGTCCCCACAGTGGTCCGCCATATCACAAAACCTCGCGTCCGCTGTCGTTGGCCAGATGGTCGGTCACACGCCTGACGTGTTATGCCGACTGTATGGTGCATGGTTGTTCTGTTGGAGGCGGCCAAGAATGAGGAGAATAATTTGCGAGTTGGCTCGCAGTATGGATTTTCTAGATGTGTTGTTCAGCAGGTGCCTTGATCTCATCGCGTGCGCAGTGTGCACCGTGTGAAGGCCCACTAAACTGTCGATGAGTGCCCAACGCTTTCAGGTGAGCGACAATGAATTATTGATGCCAGTTTGCCGGCATATGTTTTAAAAGGGGGGTCTTGTTCCAACGGGCAGATTCCACACGAAGTGGCGCGTCAGGGAGAGAGAGAGAGAGAGAGAAAGAGAAAGAGAGAAAGAGAGAGAGAGAGAGAGAAAGAGACGGGCCCGTCTGAGCCAGACTGAGCGGCGCGGACAAGTGCAACGTACAGCATGGCACGAGTGAGCGAGCACACCCACGGCAAAGCAATGCAGTACGTGCGTGTGCATGTTGCGTGGTACGCATGATACGCCGATCATTGGTTTGATACGTACGCTTGTGTCTTTGGACGGGTACGCGCGTAATCCTTTTGGTCACGCATTCAATGCTGTCAATCGGAGGTGGGAAACTCCTGCTGACCCGAGCTGGCCAGCACCAGTTTTAATTTGAAGTAAGTGTGGTGCCTGGGCACAGCAGTCCAAGATAAACCATTTGCGTCGTGTATGTAAGCGTTCCACCAAGAAGGGCTCGAGGTTTTGTTGGATTATCGAGGGGCCATCGGTCCAGTTAAGAGTTGCCAAACAGGTCGGTACTGCCTTTCCCTCACAGCAGGTCATACGCAGGGTTGCGCGTCGACTTCAGCGTGAGACCACCCGCGTTTTTCGAGCTGCCGCATCCGCCGAGGACCCCCGTCCTACGAGACTCGGATTGCTGCCCTCGCCGAGATAATTCGCCCGAGAGAAGGAGAAAAACCGTAGTAGCCTCAGGCGTGGCATCGGCGCCGGATGTTCGTTTGAATTGAGCACGCGCCATTGCCTTGAACATGTGGCGTGAGCTTGTTGCAGTTATTCGTCTTCTTTGGAGTTTCAGTATTCGGTCTCCTCTCTTCCTCCCCCTCCTCCTCCTCCTCCTCCTCCTCCTCCTCCTCCTCCTCCTCCTCCTCCTCCTTTTTTTCTCCTCCCCATGCTCCCGGCACCGCTTCGAGAAGGGACAGTAGGAGGAGCGAGTCCCAATCCCACCTGCGTAAAAGAGGCTGGCTGGCTGGCGGGGCCAAGCCCGGAGGAGGCGGGGGCGACGTTGCCCCACTGGAGATCGAAGCCGCGGGAGCACCACGCACAAGACGCCATGGTTGTGCCCTTTGCGCGGGCTCGTTCCAGGGCCCGTCCTCGCACCTCCTCGTCACCCTCTGCGCGGTTGGCCCCCTCCATGCACGGAGGGAGGATCGACATCTTCAGAAACTACGACAAGGCTCCGCTGATCAAGTGCCCGGCGCTCCTCATGCACGGCACCGCGGACCAGGAGGGGTTGGGGCCAGAGGCTGGGCCCAGGCGTTTGTGGCAGTTCAGCGTCGTTGTTGCGACATGTTTTCCGCGTGTGCACGCGCGTTCATCAACATTGCCGCAAGTGCGCAGGCGACGTTCGGTCCACATCGCAGATCGCACAACAAGTGCGCGCGTGTATGGCACGCACGGGCGAAAACATCCGCCCCCAAACGCTCCAGGGGCCGCATGGCACCCGCGTGGGCCACCCCCTGACGTGTCCGGTGGCTCTGCGCCTCATTGCGTTCCGAGCGAGAACGGGGGGAGGACGGTCTGGGCTGGCCAGATCCAGCGAGCCAGCGGCCCCGCCCGTTCCCGCCCTTCCTCCGAGGAGAAAGGATGCGATTACAGCATGAACCGTTTCCGAGCTTCATTATCTAGACGTCCCCAAAACCTTCCAGAATGAGAGGGGCGGAGGAAGAGGAGGAGGAGGAGGAGGAGGAGGAGGAGGAGGAGGATTGGAGTAAACTCCTAATGTAGCAGCGATTTTGCACTACACCCTCCCATCCCAAGTCCCTCATAAGTCCCTACAAGTAGTTACTCCTTTCCACTGCGGGAGGGGCTCCCGCAGGGATGACGAATGGTCGGTGGGCCTGGCAGTCAGGAAGGACCCCGTTGTTGGACGGATCACGATCTGGATATAGTGTTTCCATTCCGTTTTGAACATGTTCTGCCTTTTTTCCGTGCAGGTGTTGTACGATGTCAAGTTATGGTTGCAACTATTGCGGAAGTCTCCCACCGAGAGCCCAAGTTTGAAGAGGAGCCGCCGTATACCCGTGTGATTGTTGCGCAATGTGGAAGGTCGGGTTGTAGAATTTGAGGAGGCCCAATCGAGAGCCGCATTTTGAAACCGTGCCCGTCTCCGTCCCTGTAGTTGTTGCAAGCTTGTTTGACGAATGTGCGCGGCGCCAGGGCGAGAGCCCCATTTTGAAGCCAACCAGCCTTCCTCCCGTGTAACGGCTGCTAGCTTTTCAGACGAATGTGCGCGGCGCCACTGCGAAAGCCCAGTTCTGAAGCTACCGCCCTTCCGTCCTTGTAATAACATGTTGTCGGTTGTTAGAGGAATGTGCGCTTCGCGAAGGCGAGGGCCGTATCTTGAACACCGCTGGCCCTTCACCCTTTTAAATGTTGTAGTAACTGCCGCCCACGTTCAAAACGAATATCCGCGGCTCTAATGCGACAGCCTCATTTGAAAACCATCGGCCCTCCACCCGCGTGACTGCTGTATTTTCTGAAGCGAAGCGCCAGGCCTGGGCTATGGACACGTCCGGTGGTGCGACATGGGGGCAATTGTTTACGTGGAAGAGGGATGGTGGAGGCCACTCCTGAGCACGGCCGGGAGAAGCAGGGGGAGTCGAGGGGCCTTTGGGGGCCGCGCGTGGGGGGGAAGAGGGCCATCTTTGAGGGCCGAAGCCAGGCCCCTGGGCAGCTGGCGCGCGAGTGCCAGCACACCAGCAGAGGGCATGAAATCACCACCAGAGGAGGGCATTCAATGGTCGATCCGACTCGATGCCGAGTTCACCCGGCTGGATCCGATTTGACCACCACGACACCGGAATTGCGGTCGCTTTAGCCTTTCGTCAGTGCCGATGCGGCCCGTTCCGACCCGATCCGCTTACTCGATTCGACTGCCGACCACCCCTGCCCTCCCCCCGCGCCGCCCTCGCGGCGCCGCGCCGCGCCCGCCTGACGGGGCCGGCCACGTACGCTGTCTGCCTGCGCGGGCGCCGAGCCGGGCCGGGCCATTGGCGGCGTCGGGAGGTCGTGCCGTACCACTGCGGCAAGGCCCGCCCCAAGAGGATCAGGTATCGGGGACGAGGACAGCCAGGAGGGCGGTGGAGGGTGAGGAGGGCGGGGGGGGGAAGACGAGGGTGGAGTGGGAGTGTGTGGGGAAGGAGCGGGGAAAGAGAGAGTGAGAGATAGAGAGAAAACAAAACAAAAGCAAGACAGAGTTAGAGAGGATGGTGGAGGAGGAGGAGGAGGATGACGAGGGGGGCGGAAGGTGGATAAGAAAGAGGAGGGCGGAGGAGAAAGAGTAGAGGAGGACGGAGCAGGGTGGAGGAGAAGGGTCGAGGAGGACGGAGGAGGGCGGGTGAGGAGACTGAGGAGTGAGGAAGAGGGGGAGGTGGAGGAAGGGCAGCTGGATGGCGGAGGAAGGTGGAGCAGGATCACTGCTTCCCGGTTGCGTCTCTGCACTGGGCCCCCACTCCGTTTGTTCAACAAGGTCTTGGGTGGTAGTTGGTTGATATGGGTGATCAAGCCACGACAAGCAAACTATACAACACCTCAGGAGTTGGGTTTTTCTGGGGGGTCTCGTGGGGTGCGCCGCCGTCGGTTCCGTAGGTGTGCGGCTCAAACGGAAACTTTCTGGCTTTGTCCCTTTCGAGGGCTCGCACACCGAAGGCCTGGGGCTTTTGAGCGCCCGCCCCTGCGGGGCGCCGACGGGCCTCCAGGCCTCGGCTCTGCCTCCGGCTTCAGAGGTGCGAGCCAGGAGCCGCCCACCTCTCGTGGCCACGGCACCACGGCCTTCGGATGGAGCTGGCGAGAGAGCTGGCGCCCGGGTTGTGCCTGCGCCGCGGCGTCCAGCACGATGATGGGACCGACGTTGGCCGGGTGATAGGGGTCATCAGGCGCGTGGTGTCGGACAACCCCGGCGGGACGGCGCCCGAGATGGAGTACTTCGGGACGACCAACCCGTATCTCGCGTGGTGGTTGGAGTTTCACCGTGGTCGTGACCAGAAGGTTTGATTACAGTGTGCAAGGGACCTGTGAGCTCCTGCCTTTATCGAGGGCCTCGAGCGGGGATCTCCGTCCTGCACGCGAGGGCCCCTCAGCGACTTTCTCCAGCGGAGGCCCCTCGACCTCCACCTTCCACTCCAGCCGCGCGGAGGGTATGGAAGATCATATTACCTAGTTCATGTCTTGATGTGTCTCGATGTGTCTCGATTGTCTTGGCATGTCTCGATATGTATCGCGGATGTTTTAGTATGTATAGATAGTCCATGTATCATCACACACCATTTGCAACAAACAAACAACGATAATTCAGGATACAAACGTTGCACACAACATTGCACGCGCCGAAACAAACAGATAGGGCAAACCAAGTCAATAACATAACGTAGGTAGGAAGTAGGCACGCAAGAACACCACTCGAAACATCTCAAGAAATATGCCGAAGCCACAAGAGAGCCAACATGACCCCAGAAGCAAGTTGCTTCAAGACCTTCAAGGGTTTTCAAAGAGCCTCAAGGAGCTTCAAAGAGCTTGAAAGAGCCGCGAGGAGCCTCAAGGAGCCCCAAGGAACCTCAAGGGAGCCAGGCCGCCTCAAGGAGCTCCAAGGAGCCCAAGGGTCACACGGGAGCCAAAACGCCCCCCAGAAATGCCAAAATAGCCCCAAAGACCCAAGGGCCGAAGAGCCCCTAAGAAGCAAAAGGGAGCTTGATACGCTCTGTGCCAACCCTTCCCCGCCACCCTCCCCCCTCGATTCTCGCGCGCCCGATTCCCCCGCCCAGGCGTGTGAAAATCGTGCGGGGGATGGGGGCGGAGAGGTGCAGAGTGCATATCAGGCTCCCGTCTCTTTCCCTTGTTCTTCGTATTGCGGCTGGGTTGGCTCAAGTTTTCTTTCGAGCCCAGTCCTCGAGCCCCCCGCGGAGGCTGGGCGTATCGGCATCGGCGCCACCCCGCGAGCCCAGAGGCGCGATGGCGGAGGGCCCGAACAGTCAGGTTCGCCTGTCGCTCGTGTTCCAGCGCTGCCTCAAGAGCAACGCACGAGGCGAGTTCGTCGCGTGGGACACGCAGGGCAGCAAAAGGACGAGGGGGCTCACGGACTACCTGCTCGAGACGGGCCAGTGGGAGGTCATCGGCAGGCCATTGCGTCTGCGGCGCATCATTGCCCAGCGCCCCTGGGCCACCGCGCTCCCGCCCGAGAGGGCGCGGTGGCTCAGGCACGCTGGGTGACGAAGCGCCCAGACCACCAAGGCTGCGCGACATCTCGGGGGGCAGCGTGAAGTTCGAGATCGGGGGCGTCGAAGTGGCCATGCACATGGCACCTCCTCCTCGTTCACCCCCCTACGCCTTCGGAGGAGGGGAGGGGGGGAGGAAAAGAGGAGGAGGAGGAGACGGAACGAGGAGGGGGGGGGGGATCGAGGAGGAGGAGGAGGAGGAGGAGGAGGAGCAGGCGGGGGGAGGACGACGAGGCGGAGAAGGAGGAGGAGGAAGAGGAGGATGAGGGGAAGGAGGAGGGGGGGCGAGGGGGAGGAGCGAGGAAGAAGACCAGGAAGAGGAACAGGAAAATGGGGAGGGCGAGGATGAGGGGGAGGAGGAGGGCGACGACGACGAGGAAGAGGAGGGGTAGGCAGAAGAGGAAGAGTGGGAAGAGGAGGAGTAGAACATGAGCAGGATGACCGATGGGGAGGGCGATGCCCCTCCGTGTTCTCCTCGTCGCCCCCTCCGTCCTACCCAAGGCGATGGTGGGAGGGGAAATGATGAGGAGCGGGCTGAAGTCTTCGGCCGCTCCTCGTCCTTAGCCCCCCTCGCGCATCGTCTTGGGTAAGTCGCCTGCCCGACCTCCATCGGCACTCAAGCCGACCGCGGAGAAGGCAGTCCAGGAGAGCAAGCGCATGCTGGACATGCTGTCGGCATGGAGGCGCATCGTCAGGCCTAACTCCCCCCCCCGTGCCCCCTCCTCCCCCTCCTCCTCCTCCTCCTCCTCCTCCTCCTCTTCCCGTCTCCTCCTCCTCCTCCTCCTCATTCCCCTCCTCCTCCTCCTCCTCCTCCTCCTCCTTCTCCTCGTCCTGCACTTCCCGCGCCATTTCTCCTCCTCGTTCTCCGCCTTCCTCCCGCCTGCTCCTCCTCCTCCTCCTCATCCTCCTCCTCCTTCCCCTCCTCTTCCCCTCCTCGTCCCGCGCCCTTCCCGAGAGGGGGGGGTGCGACATCCCTCGCAAGTTGCAGCGGAAGTTTGGCACGAAGCTCGCTCCCTTCAAACAGAACGAACGGACGTGCCCCCCCGCGCACGTCGTCGGCGCGCTCATCGTGGCTTCGGATAGCGACGACGACAGCCTCGCGCCCATTGGCGACGACGGCTATCGGAGGAGGAGGGGAGGGGGATGAGGCGGTGGAGAAGGGGGAGGGCGATGGGGACAAACAGATGGGAGCATGGGAGTTACGAGGAATAGAGGTGGGAAGGATGAGGAAGAGGATGTGGATGAGGGGTAGAATGCAAAGAAGATGCTGCGGATGAGGACACGTAGGATGAGGAGGTGGTAGAATAACTATGGTGGGGGTGCATGGGAGGACGAGGATGACGATGGGGCGGAAGGAGATGAGGATGCGAATGAGCGTGACGATGACGATTCTGATGATGATGACGGGGATGAGGATGGTGATGCTGGGGATGATGCTGATGATGATGGTGCCGATAATGATGATGATGATGATGGCGATGATGATGTTGAGAACGAGGATGACGATGACGATGAGGATGAGGATGAGGATGATGAGGAGGATGAGGATGAGGATGACGATGGTGAGGATAATGATGATGGTGATGCTGATGGTGATGATGAGAATGATGGTGATGATGATGGTGGTGATGTCGATGTTGGCGATGTTGATGCTGTTGAGGATGGCGGTGACGATGGGCCCCCGCCCTCCCCTTCCCCCGCCGTCACCGCCGCCGCCGCCGCCGCCGCCGCCGCCCCACCGCCCGAGGCGAGCAGCCGCTGGCGCCCCTTGCGGCAAAGAAGGACACTCGGGGCACTCGCGCACCAGGGTCGGGCAGCGCCGCGGCACCTACTTCAGCAGCTGCACCCAGCTCTGCGGCGCCCAGCTCTGCGCCGCGCCAGGCTCCACGGGACCGCGGGAAAACAACACGCAATCACTATCATATTTTGTTTTGGGGGCGCGCAAGGAGGGGGGGGGGGGGGGGCGACAATGCATCCCCCAGTGGCCCCGCGACGCCCGATGCAGTTAGGGCGCGCGGAGGGGGGGGGGGGCGGCAGGAGGATGGGGGGGGGGATTGACGGGGGAAGAACGAGGGCGAGGTCAGCAGGATGTGGAGGTGGACGAGGATGATGGGAAGGATTGGGGAGGCAGGGGGAAGGCGATGAGGAAGGGGTGGAGAAGGAAGGGAACTTGGAGGAGGAGAATGAGAGGTGATGTAGGAGGGAGGGCGAGGAGATGATAATGATGCCAATGGGGGTTGCAGCACTCTGGCCTGAGCGTCCTGGTCGCCCCCCCCCCCCCCCCCAAACCCACGACCGCGAATTGATGTCGCCGCTCCGCCCACCCAGCCTCCCCCCATCAGGGCATCAAGCCGAGAATCATCAGTGGCCCCTTCGTCGCTCAGATCAGCCAGTGCTTGAGAGAGGAAATCAGAAAAGCAAAATTCGAGTTCGCTGTCGCGGTCAATCGGCTACGATATCCACAACCATTAGCTCTGGAAACACCATGTGAACACGTGCGCGCGAGCAGCCACGACAAGATCACGCTTCTCGGGGGGTTCGACAACCCCTCGCCGCCCGTCTTGCAAAACATGAATGATGCCGGGCTGCTAAGAGAGGATTACAGCTGGGCTATAAAGGGGGGCCATAGTGATATGCGCACGCACGAGTGTGGGGGGGGGGTCATGGGGCGCGCCCTCTGAATGATGAGGCCCTGGCGCAAGTATTCGGGAATCGAGTTGACATCGGTTGCCCACGGCCCACGACGGACCGCCCATCCGTCGCAAACCCTGGGCTCCTTAACCGAGCTTGCTATATCTGAAATTCCCGCAAGTCAGAGCA